TCATAAGTTGATAACTTCTCATGTGGACAACTTCTCATATTTATTATTTTTAATTTTTTTTTTATTTTTTCATGTTTAAATATGACTCAATCAATAACATCATTGTACATATAATTACTTAAATTTTTTTAGGTATATCGGTAAAGATGCAAGAGTACCTTTATCACTGTGCAATGTACCGTCCCTGAACGCGCGAACTTTAGACTACCTGATTTGTCTATTACAAATGCTTCCCATTTGAAAAGTATTATAGCCTCCACATTTTCGTATTAGGATTTTCGTCTTACTTTTTGCTCAGAAATACGTTATTAAAATTTCGGTCACGAATTGCGGTACACCCTGTATATGTAATTTTACATTACTTTTTTACAGTGTATTCTTTGCGGCGTATTTCACGTCACATCGACCCTAGGTTCCTTCAACCGCGCGTATGCACATGGAACATCATTTTCTATCACACACACACACCCGTCGATAAAATCCCCTCGCGAGATATTATCTACACAACAGTTACAAATCTATATACAGGGTGTACCTAAACTGGCGAAAGATATTTTTATGACAAGTACTTTGTAATAACATTTTAAGACGAAAATGTCGAGGCTACAATAGTTTTCAAGTGGGAAGAGTTTAAAGATCTCGAATAACGAGATCTAGAATTCGCGCGCTCAGGGATGGCGAAGCAATCCAGGATGGCCGAGAGCAAAGGTGCCTCCTTGAACCGCACATCTTTGACAATAATGAAGTTGTTGTAAAAATTATGCAATTAAACTCTTGCCATTTGAAAATTATTAGCCTCGACCGTTTCGTCTTGAAACGTTACAAAGTACTTGTCACTAAAATATTTTTCGCCAGTTTAGGTACACTCTGTACAACGCGTGATTCAATGAATCGACTCAGTTTTTGGCAGACTTCTTATTTACTCACTAGATATCTGTCGATACGAAATATGTACTTGAACCGCTATTTATTTATCCGATAAAATGCACAGATACTACGATAAACTTTGCTTCTTTCGACTAGAGATTAAAAGCGTAATAAAAAAAAAACAAAGTTAGTTATGAAGGAAACTCGGTAAAGAAAAACGTGTTTCTTACTCCCAGAAGTGAGATTTTCACTCCATTAATTACAGTGTCCAGTGTTCAAAAGTATAATTTGGATGCTTATAGTGAATTCGATTGCTTGCACTAGTGAGCACTGAGTACGTAGTGAGGCTTGTTTGTAGACAATTCTCATGTTTAAGGATCGTTTTAAATGCCTCCTCAAGTACTTCCTAGCCAGAAAAATTATCTTTACACCATCCATACCATCATTTCATTTTTTAAATAGTTTTTAAACTTGTATTTAAGACGACCTTAAATATAAAAATTGATTATAACCAGACCTTATTGCTAGTGCGCACTTAAATTGATTTGTTTTCTGTTCCTGCACTGGTGAACTAGTGCAGTAAGCTAGAATGAGAAAATATGTAACCCGTCTTACTCTAATTTATTGCACTAGTTCACCTGTGCAGGAACAGAAAACAAACCTAATCAGTTCTGAATTCACTCTTAGTAACCTGTGGAGCGCAGCTTTGAAAAATCAGCGCAAAATTTATGAAAATTATCACATTCCATGTTCTGTGCCATCCTCACTTTTGACCCATAAAACAGCAAACACAACAACGGCTTGACTGTCGGAAGAGTTTTCTTAAACTTTATGAAACTTTGTTAATAAAGAATATCGAAATATCATTGAATCTTTCGCGAAGCCACTAGAAAATATCTTTTACCCAAAAATTTAATCTCTTTTGTAAAAACTCTTTTTAATCTTTTGATACCTCTTGTTACAAGGTAATAAAAGTTGCCCTATAAAACGAGATTGCAACTCGAAAAACATTCCATCCTCCTACTCTTCCGTTCGCGCTCGAGTTTATCTATCGGGCGTCGCTTCTCCGCGGCACTGAACAGCTCGTGCGTATTTTCTCCGCAATAATTCTAATTATATCAGTACACATGGCACAAATTCAAAAATTACCGTAAACGTTTCACAAATTATATGCTGTGGGTGGCATCGAACGACGGTTATCGCTAGCAGGTATATTGGAAATGCAAAACGCCGCATAACACTAAAAGTATTCTTCATGTTTGTCTCCGAAGTGTACATCTTTATCTGACGCTGTTGTTTTCTTTCCCCTCTTATTGTATTATATGTGTTGTACAGGGCGAAACAATAACTTTGTCTACCTCGCATAGCTCCTCTATTTTTAGAAATATGAAAAACTTGTAATTACGATTGCCGTAGGTTGTCAAGAGGGCCATAATGTGCCGGCGATATTTTTGCAGTAACTGGAGGCGCTTCGATGATCTCAAGGTCACCTCCATTTTTTTTAAATGGCGTACTATACTTTTTTTATTGTCAGTGCAATAGCGTATGTTTTAAGACGGTCTCAACGACCTATAATAGTCATTTGCTGTGTACACAGTACCGGCCAAAATTATATCGCCTTCAGTGTGGAAATGCGAACTGGGGTGCGAAGCGCCCTGATTTTCCGAGCGCAAAGTGCTCTCTCCTTTCGTCAAAGTGCGTCGAATGTTTTCCAAATTTTACAGTACGTAACCGGATAACAGACGCATCCGTGTACACGAAATTTGACAAAATATCCCAGGATTTTCGAATTTTTTTATTCGTGCACTTCGAAACTGGTTATGCCCAAGAAATCGAAAGGTGATAGAATTTTGGCCGGTATTGTATGCGATTGTATCGCATCTTTTCAATCGTATGGATTTTTTTTTCAATTTCCTCGAAATAATCTCTCAGGCGCTTCGCACCCCAGTTCGCATTTCCACACTGAAAAATGGATGCACGCCGAATGAATAAACGGCGAATGCAAACGGAATATTTGTTGGCGCCCTCGCCTGCACTGTTAAATTGGTAGTGTTAAATCTGACACAATTTGAGTCGTCTAATCAATATGTCGTTAATCTAACTAAACAGTGGCGTTGAAAGAAACTATAGAAATGGGTCGAATAGCAGCTGCAGTTGTTCTTCAACCACATTTTGCGTTGAAATAAACTGTGACACGCATGGTGGTTAAAACTAACGACGTATTGAGCAGTGGCGAGTCATTACGAGTTAAGCGCGACACTAGGAATTTAATAGAGCACGAGCCGGTCGGAGAAAGTTCGCGACGAAATTACCTCCGCGTTATTCCGCCGTTCGGCCAAATATATCTTTAATAATCGTTGGATAAGTGCCTCGCCTTTTGCGTTATTCTGTATCATATTTCTCTGTACTCTGTACCTCCTACTTGTAGCGAATTCGGCGGCTTGCACTAGTGCGCACTGAGCGCACGCTGAGGCTTGTTTACAGTCAATTGTTATATTTAAGGAACGTCTTAAACATCTCTTGAAATATTTCTTAGCCAGTAAAATAATTTGTATGGCTAAGTATGTATCCATACGGGTCATTGTCTGGCTAAACACTTTTTGAACTTGTATCCAAGACAAAATAAAATATAAGAATCGACTATAAACAAGCCTTGGTGCGCACTGAGCGCACGCTGAGGCTTGTTCACAGGCAAGTCTTATATTTTAGAATCGCCTGAAATATTTCGTAGCCGGTAAAATTATCTGTACGGCATCCACACGGATTATTTGTTGGCTAAATACTCTTTGAACATGTATTTGAGACAAAGTTAAGTATAAAAATTGACTATAAACTGGTCTTACAAGGGGAACCCGGCAGTCTGTAGTCACCGATTTTAATCTAGTTGTGTGGGTGTGTTGTACTCACCCAAACTTATTTTCTGCTAAAGCCGTAGGGCGCACTATTCAGGCGTTCTCGAGGAAATATAATAAACGGTAATTATGCATAAAAGCGACTTCCTCTCCGATTTGCTTTATTTTTAAATATGTTGTTGGGGATGTCTTCCCGAGTCATTTCATATATATAAGGGCCGGACTCAAATAGTTTCGGAGATACAGGCTGAGAAAGGATACAAATAATAAATATATGGTAATTTGTATCCTTTCTCAGCCTGTATCTCCAAAACTATATATATGAAATGACTCGGGAAGACATCCCCAACAAC